AGTACACTGTGAATCTCGACAATAGCCTGCTTCAAAAAAAGAAAGAAAAATGAAGTACACCGATTTCAAAATATTTCATAAAGTGATTCCACAAACTCCCGTACTAATTTTCAAAGTATGGTCGGTATGGGCCGAAAAGGTTGTCACCCTATGACAAGACCAAGCTCACAATTGGGGCTCAACGAGAGCTTCTTGGATGTATTGAAAGGTCTACTTCATCGAAGAGTGCGAAAGACGCGGTGCGGAAGAGTTTGCAGATGTCTTAGAATAATTTCATGGCTAGGTTTAATCTAAATGCAAAAAATATTTAGCCATCACCGTACAAATGTTATATTTAATCATTATACACCTTCGGCCCAGACGGCAGGACTTACGGATCTGCCGCGATACCGACCATGACAAGCTGGCGGTGGTACACGCACTGTTAGTTTTACAATGTGGGGCTTCAAACCATGTCACATTTCTGAACAGGATGCTCCGGGACGATTTGGTGCGACAAGATGATAAGCTGCTAAAGAACTCGATGGATCTCTAACCGGTAAGCGAGCTCACCGTAGCTGATGCAAAACGTCTTGGGGTCTTTGAGGGCATGAAGGCCCCACAAAGCAATGTTTGTATTGTGGAGCGTGCGCTGTTCCTATGGCAAGAAAAAATTTTGCAGTTTGCCTATGAGTATTACTACACGCTACACGCTGATCGAGTTTGATATCTAGCTGCAAGGGCTGTTACCCACAAACCGTTGGGTGTTACCATGCAATTAGCCACGTATGCGGAAGGTACGTATTGTTTGATCGACCATGATCATCCTCGTGGACGGTGTGATTTTACGGATCTGCCGCGATACCGACCATGACAAGCTGGCGGTGGTACACGCACTGTAGGTTTTACAATGGGGGCTTCAAACCCATGTCACATTTCTGAACAGGGATGCTCCCGGGACGATTTGGTGCGACCAAGATGATAAGCTGCTAAAGAACTCGATGATCCCCAACCGGTAAGCGAGCTCACCGTAGCTGATGCAAAACGTCTTGGGGTCTTTGAGGGCATGAAGGCCCCACAAAGCAATGTTTGTATTGTGGAGCGTGCGCTGTTCCTATGGCAAGAAAAACATTTGCAGTTTGCCTTTGAGCATTACTTCACGCTACACGCTGACCGAGTTCGATATCTAACTGCAAGGGCTGTTACCCACAAACCATTGGGTGTTACCATGCAATTAGCCACGTATGTACGGAAGGTACGTATTGTTTGATCGACCATGATCATCCTCGTGGACGGTGTGATTTTAAGGATCTGCCGCGATACCGACCATGACAAGCTGGCGGTGGTACACGTACTGTAGCTTTTACAATGGGGGCTTCAAACCATGTCACATTTCTGAACGGGGATGCTCCGGGGACGATTTGGTGCGACCAAGATGATAAGCTGCTAAAGAACTCGATGGATCTACAGCCGGTAAGCGAGCTCACTGTAGCTGATGCAAAACGTCTTGGGGTCTTTGAGGGCATGAAGGCCCCACAAAGCAATGTTTGTATTGTGGAGCGTGCGCTGTTCCTATGGCAAGAAAAAACATTTGCAGTTTGCCTTTGAGTATTACTACACGGGTGGACGGTGTGATTTTACGGATCTGCCGCGATACCGACTATGACAAGCTGGCGGTGGTACACGCACTGTAGGTTTTACAATGGGGGCTTCAAACCCATGTCACATTTCTGAACGGGGACGCTCCGGGGACGATTTGGTGCGACCAAGATGATAAGCTGCTAAAGAACTCAATGGATCTCCAGCCGGTAAACGAGCTCAATGTAGCTGATGCAAAACGTCTTGGGGTCTTTAAGGCATTAAGGCGCCACAAAGTAATGTTTGTATTGTGGAGCGTGCGCTGTTCCTATGGCAAGAAAAACATTTCCAGTTTGCCTTTGAGCATTACTACACGCTACACGCTGATCGAGTTCGATATCTAGCTGCAAGGGCTGTTACCCACAAACCATTGGGTGTTACCATGCAATTCGCCACGTATGTACGGAAGGTACGTATTGTTTGATCGACCATGATCATCCTCGTGGACGGTGGGATTTTACGGATCTGCCGCGATACCGACCATGACAAGCTGGCGGTGGTACACGCACTGTAGTTCTACAATGGGGGCTTCAAACCCATGTCACATTTCTGAACGGGGACGCTCCGGGGACGAATTGGTGCGACCAAGATGATAAGCTGCGAAAGAACTCGATGGATCTCCAACCGGTAAGCGAGCTCAATGTAGCTGATGCAAAACGTCTTGGGGTCTTTAAGGCATTAAGGCCCCACAAAGCAATGTTTGTATTGTGGAGCGTGCGCTGTTCCTATGGCAAGAAAAACATTTCCAGTTTGCCTTTGAGCATTACTACACGCTACACGCTGATCGAGTTCGATATCTAGCTGCAAGGGCTGTTACCCACAAACCATTGGGTGTTACCATGCAATTCGCCACGTATGTACGGAAGGTACGTATTGTTTGATCGACCATGATCATCCTCGTGGACGGTGGGATTTTACGGATCTGCCGCGATACCGACCATGACAAGCTGGCGGTGGTACACGCACTGTAGTTCTACAATGGGGGCTTCAAACCCATCCTCTAAATGTCTGAACGGGGACGCTCCGGGGACGAATTGG